CGACCAGTCTATAGATCCTTATAATACACCACCCACTTCCCACAGTCTTTAAGGGCCTCTTCAACTCCCCTGTGAGATGTCACAGGCCAGGCCTCCATCATTTCAGCATTCTTATCTTCCAAGCTCTGGTGAAATGTTCCATCATTCTGTCCCACCATTCTGAGCACTCAATGACTTTCTAGCCCAAAGTTCCAAATGCCACCACAATCTCCCCAAAACTGTGAAAAAAAATCTGTCAAAGCAACGTCTCACAGCTAATGCCCACTTCCATCCTCGTTTGCTGTTGCTGTGATAAAACACGGACCAAAAGCAACCTGGGGAGAAGAGGGTTAACTTGGCTCTCACTTCCAGATCATGTCCCATCAACGAGGGACAAACTAAGGGCAGGAACCTGGTGCCAGGAACTGAAGCAGAGGACACTGGGAAACTGGAAGGCCACTTATTGCCCTGCTCTTATACAGCCGTATACCTTTCTTACACAGTCCAGGCCCACATGCCCAGCACTCAAGAAAACGCTCCACAAACATGTCACAGGCCAATGGTATCTGCTTCGTGCTGTGTCCATATATCGCCTCATATGGCCCGTGGCCCCTGGGCAGCACAGCAGTGGTCTCCCAGATGCAGAAAGGCACCTTGCAGCATGCGTGATGTCCGCTCCCACGCCCGCCTGCCACCTGCTATGAGTCCTCTTGGACCGCTCATGGTTACTCAAAGTTCCCAGACCTCCAGGAGCCATGATCTGCCCAGCTTCCCTGGGTCTATCTCAGACTCAGAGCTGAAGTCCAGTCTACCCGACCCCGACACAGACCTCATGAGGCAGAGGACAACCCAAGGTCCTGGGGCAGCAAATCTCACTCCAAGCAGGCATGCAGGATGCAGAAGGGGGTTGGCTGAGAGCGAGGGGGGGGGGAGAAAGTTGGGAGAATGGGGCTTCCCACCATCAGCAGGTTGGGGAAGACCTAGGATCTGGCTCACTGTAGGTGATGGCTGTCCGGCTAGGCTGTTCATATTGACCGTCTCACAGCTGGGAAGTTCCCATCCCCTCAACTGTGGGTAGGCATATGTTTGGACAAGGGAGAGGGAGGTTCTCCACAGCAGAAAAGGCTAGAATTATCTCTCCTAATGGCTTCAGTCATGGATGATTTCTGTTGCAAAGCTCCAAGAAAAAGTGTGACTTCTGCCTGTGGATTCCAGTGTTTCTGTAGCAAAACTTTCCTGAGTCTAGGCTGCAGCATCCATGATCCTGCGGTGACCTTGGAGGTCCTCTCTGTCTCTACTCAACACCCCCAACACACACACACACACACACACACACACACACACACACACACACACACAGGCACACACTACCACCCTGAATTGTCACATCACAGCTGTCTGAGAAGCATTGTAGTTGCACACACATCACAGACTGTCCTCATTTCTGGACCCAACAGTCACGCTGCACAGGAGAGCAAGAGCAGGCCACAGAGCACGAACTTCAGCCACTCAGCTCAATCCTGCGGCAGCTAGGATTCAGAAATGGGACCAGGCACTCGCCACGTCACAGGGCCAGAGAAGATGTCTGAAAGGAACCCTGTTGGACCGCGAAGGAGGGAGGGGACTGACTGTGTGAGGGGAGGGCTGGATTTGCCTCAGACTTCTCCCAGGAACACAGGCCAATGCTATGGGTGTGGAGAGCTTTCTCAGCCTGCCACCCCTCCCCCATGCTGCCTCCAGCCTTTCTCTGCAGCCATTTCTTGTCACTGCTGAACAATAGGCCCTGCTGGCAGCTGGCAGCTTGGCCCTGCCTGGGAGGTGGGGGAGGTATGGAGAGCTGTGGGGTTGAGACAGCCAGCCTGCTTCAGAGAGGGTTCCCAGCTCCAGGGACAATGTCACCATGTGTTGCCCCATCCTGTCACGCACATGCTATGCTGTCCCAGAAGCCTGAAGGCTGGCACCTCAGGGCACTCAGGAGCTCTTGCAAAGCCTCCAGGCCTGCAGCCCCAGGCCAGCCCTCCCACTGCGATGACAGACTCTCAGAGAAGCCAGACATTCAGTCTTCCCCTTGCTCCCAAGGGGAGGTGACTGATCTGAAGTCACACAGTCAGGGCAGGAGAGTCTGTGAACACCTGGAATGTCCCTCCTCCTGTTCCTTGAGGCAATGAGGAGGGACTCAGGACACAGACACGCGCGCACACACACACACACACGCGCACACACACACACACACACACACACACACACACACACACACAGACACACACACAGACACACACACGGGGAGGAGAAGAGTTCCCAGGCCTCCAGGCTGAAGCCAAGGTATGCTGTGCTAAAATGATCTCAAGAGTGACAGTAACTATAGTCTAAGCAACCCAGGGGCCAAGACAGAAGCATTTACGTGCAGATGTTTGAGATCAGCCGGAACAATGACTGTTTCAAAGCACACAAATAAAAACAAACAAACTTGTTTAGGGCTGGAGGGAGAGAGCTGAGCAGGCTTGGGATGGTGACAAAGGATACAAACGGATACAAACTCAGGTAGTCTGCTTATGAACCAGGCTGAATGCTACCCTTTGAAGCCTCAATTGCCTTGAGACCAGCCGTTGTCATTCCCTTTTCTGTTTTCACAGGCATAAATCAGGCTCGCTCCCAGACCCCTTTCCAGTTCCCTCTGGCCCCTCCTCCCCAGCTCTTGGTGCTCTGGGGCTCCCGGGGCACAGGAGCTCCTGCTCTCTAGAGATATACGTCCTTACAGAAAGCCCTGAGCCCGTCTGGCCTGTGGCTGACACTATCCTAAGGACTGCAATGTCAGAGTTTGGCGGTGTTTTTCTGTAAAGGGTCAAATGGGAAGTCTTCAGGAACCATGAGGGTCAGTTTAACTGCACCTGCTCGGCTGTGCTGTGGAGCCAGAGACCAGAGGGGACGCACAGCTAAGAAGCACAGCCGTCCGCGATCAAGGGCTTTACTGCTTATGAAAACAAGCAGTATGTAGCTCATGGAGGCGTGGCATACCAAACTCTTGGCGGAGAGCAACAGCCCAGGGGTTGTGTTCCTCAGAGCTGCAGTGTTGCAGAGAAAACCACATGCAGTCAGTCTGAAGCCAGGGCGGCGTCTGCCACGTCCAGAAGCCTGCAGGAACTCAGGAGCCTGCAGGAACTCAGGAGCCTGCAGGAACTCAGGAGCCTGCAGGAACTCAGGAGCCTGCAGGAACTCAGGAGCCTGCAGGAACTCAAGAGCCTGTAGGAACTCAGGAGCCTGCAGGAACTCAGGAGCCTGCAGGAACTCAGAAGCCTGCAGGAACTCAGAAGCTTGTAGGAACTCAAAAGCCTGCAGGAACTCAGGAGCCTGCAGGAACTCAGGAGCCTGGCTCTTACTAGGGGGGTGTGGAGAGGGATTCGTGGACGGGCATGAGGTTGGCCTTGAATGAGGCTGTCCTACACAGGAGAATGGGAGCCAGGACACAAAGGCAGGGTGCTAGTGTGAGCCAGAGCTAGGGACCTGCAGAGGAAATGCCGGGTGCTGGGCTTCTTGTTCTGTAGGGGTGAATCCTCACCTAAGCCTTTGCCACCCTGCTTTTCTCTTTTTAAAGACAAGGTTTTATGTATCCAAGGTGGAATGCAAACCTTGAACATATCATCAACCTGCTGTCACTCTCTGGGTGCTGGGGAGAGCACTATGGGCTTCACAGATGTTCTCTTCTGAGGGACACACCCAGCTTCTCCTGGAACCACATGCCAGAACAGTCCTGGGCACAAAGGACAGACAAGGCATTCTTAACTTGCAGTGGTCTTGCCAATGTCTTTAAAGGGCTTTAGGGACTGTGTGGCTGATCTTGTCCTTGTAAACCTGGAGGTTGAATGACTTACCAAACAAAGCTGCATCGCCAATCAACAGCAAATGCTCATCACCTCAGGTTTGAAGAGGTCCCCACTGGACCTCCTGACAAAATCTGCCCTGTGGTACTTAGCCAGAGCTTCAATGACAAAGGACCCATCCCAGGTAGACTCAACAAGATCAGCTCACCTTTCTGGAGGCTAGGAATCCAAGATCAGGATGGTAGCAGGTTGCTCCTTTGGCAGCTTATTTAAGAAAGGCTTCCTTTGTGTCACCACTAGTGGCTTGCTAGCCATCCCCAATGCTCCTTGATTTGCAGAAATATGGCCCTCATGTCCACCTGTCTTCACACAGTATCTCTGCATGCATGGCCATGCCGACAGGATTTCTAATCTCATGTATCTCTATAAAGGCTGTCGCTGAACGAGTCACATTCTGGGGTATATAACCTCTGTGGAGAACAATTCATTTTATAGGCCACCCCACCCCCTGCCTTCCATATTCCAAAGCTGATTTAATGGAGCGTGCATTTTCCAGTTCTCTTACCCACGTCTGCTGCTTCACCAGCCAGCAGTGGCCCAGCTGCTACGGAGTGCCTGGACATCCCTGCCCCAATAGGCCCTGATGACGGCAGGGTGGCCCAGTCTGGCATTATGGTACCAAAACCACCAAGACAGAAAGACCAGTGATGTACGGACACCAGCAGTAGGTGGGGATGATATCGGGTATGGGTCAGAGAAGCAGAGGGAGACAGGAAGCTGTCGGAGGGGACAAAGAAGCTGGAACCGAGGGACAGGCTTACTGTATGGGGGCTGAGTTGAGCCTGAGGAGCCAAGTGGCCTACTGGAGAGGGCTAGGAGAATGGCCAACAGAGAGACACAGCACCGCTGGTAGCAGTGAAGCCCAACAGTTAGGGCTAGTCACGGGCTTTCAAGTCCTGAGTGTGGGTGCAAGACCGTCTCAGGTTACAGACAGGGTAAAGGCTCTGAGTAAAAGTGAATCTGGAGAAAGCTGGGTCAGAGAAGGAAAAGGAAGTGAGGAGGACCTCGAGAAGCCTGGGGAGCAGGAGGACAGGAGGGGATGAGAACGGGGAAACCACACTGCATGCTGTACCAAGGCGGGACCAAACAGTCACGACACAGGCGGGTGGTACACCAGTCGGAAGAAAACTGTAGACACAGGTCTCATCCTTTAACTGTTTATTGTATAATATAAAACTACAAAAGACCGCTCATTTCCATGTACATTTAGTCTGTCCAATTGTTTAAAATACAGTCTGAATGAACCTACACTGAACACAGCCCTCTGGATTCTGATGTGACGTCTGTAATATTGCATAGAAAAGGCACAGCTCTCAGGTCTGTGGGGAAAAGTCACACCTACTTTTGACAAAAAGCCCTCCTCAAAATCCACACACCTAACATGTCCCTATGTACACTTTCAACACTTTAGTTGTACATATGGACTACATTTCCTCTCCAAATTCCCCAAAAGAAGTCCAAAAATTTTATTGGCTTTGTCTGCAAGAGCATTTGATCCTGGCTAATTTTCAAGGACCATGTAGACCCATTTTTGGAAGCACTGGGAACAATCCCACACGGGCAGATGCACACCCTGCTGGCATCCAGGTGCGGGGTGGCACAAGAATTAACCATTTACAGCTAGGACAAGTCAAACATGCTCTTTTCTTTCTATTTTCAGAAATGTATAAAGGTCCAATTTGTAAGAGCAAGGGTTCAAAATTAAGACGACCCACACCAAGTAGAACAATCGCTGCAAGGCAGTCTCTCTCTCTCTCTCTCTCTCTCTCTCTCTCTCTCTCTCTCACCCAAGAAGGCTGCCCTTGCAGTGTTCATAATTCATTGTTTACCGCAAAGGTGGTTAATAAATTTAAGCTTTTAAAAATGATCCGCAAGTTGATACTTTGGCTCTTTGGAGCTTACTTTGTTAAGAAATTTTCCTTGATTGACCTCAGGATGGCTGGGGCACTTCAAGGGGCTATGGCCATAAAAGCTCAGCTGCTAACCCTGGAGCAGTGTGGGAGGGAGGCTGTGGCCATTCCTCACCCTTTGGTCTGAAGGTGGGTGCCCTGTGTTGCCCCTTCTGTCATAAGTGAAAGTGCTGCTAAGAAAACTTTAAAAAATTATCAATCCTTTTATACTTATTTTCTTAAAAATTTGGAGGTATTAAAACATCCCTTATCCACACCCTTTGCATATTTCAAATAGACCCATATTGGAGACGAGAGTGAAAATGAATGTGGGCTGTGTATTTGATGAGAAGACGGGCTGGGGGCTCCCCCTTTTAATACAGATTTACATTCCTACAAGAAATACATTCTGCACCAACCACCCAGATGTTGTTAGAGCGCCACAGCAAAATAAATATATTTACACAGGAAAAACAAGGAATAAATAACTTATGGGGAAAACCACCTCTTCAAACCTCTCAGGCCAAACACCCAGGCTGTCCGCCTGCCTGTGGATGCCACGAGACTGTCTTTGTGAAGGTGAGTCACAACTGCGGCGCGTCCCGCACTCAGACTGCGACTTGGAGAGCTCGCTCTGGGGCTCCACCTTGTCCCTGTTGGGACACCACTTAATATAAATAGGATACAAAGTCAGCCTTAACTCTTGATGGGCTTGCTATTTCTGAAACGGGCCATTAGCTTCCCATGCATGTCTGCAGAATAAGCACATGCCTGCTGAGTTGGGGTGGGTGTTTGGATTTTGAAGCCTGGCCTTACTAATGCACTGGAGCCAGAGAACTAAGTTTGGGCAATGCTTCTCTGAGCTTATTTGAACTGTTGCCCAACATACGGGATTGTTTAAACACACGGTTTGCTAATCCAACAAAAGTTCAGTTGTTCTATGTTACTGTCGATCAGTCTTCAACAATGGCAATCAACTGGGCTGTGCCATTTTTGTTGGGAATAGTCAACATTACTGTATATGCACACGTATGCAGTGACTGTGGCATGTGGCCAGTTCACAGGGTCCTCCAGGTCTAACACACAGAGGATGGGTAGAGCTGCTTTCTTCAAGAAAGAATGGAAAGTTCTTAAAATGGACAGGCACAATGTCACTTGGGAGCGTCGGCAACAACCCCTCACCTGGTCATCTGGCCCCTGGCCCTACATCAAAGCAAACACATTTGTGTGGTGAGAGGGGCTGTGGAGGGCGCCTGCAGGACAGCGAGTGCAGCTGGGTGGGCCTCTCGCTGATCCATAGCCTGGGAAGCGCCTTTCAAACCCATGGCCGCGGGAGAAGGTAAATTAGGGTGCAGAAGGATATTAATCACACCACACACAAACCTTTCGCTGGGATGAGCATTTCCTTCATCATGGACACATTTGCTTGCCATGTGCATTATAAAGATAGAACTAGCTATGGCTTGTTTAAAGTGCCATTTATAAACTTATCTTTTTAATTGGCCAGAAAGACCCAGTTTTATCCATGGCAAGAAGTGAGCAGAACTGGTGACAAATGACCAACAACAACAAAAACAAAACAAAATCCCATAATTTAAATAAATATAAAAGTTATTCCTAAGGAAGCCATCTGCAAACAACGTCGGCTGTAAGCTGCACGCCACGGCTGAAGTAACCACCCCATGAAGGCAGCGGCAGACCTCAGCGACGGGCATGGTACCTGGAAGCAAACTGGTACAACTGGGGGGGGGAGGGAGAGCACTGCGAACAAAAAGCTGTTTAAGGGGCCAGGAGACGGGGAGGGCCAGAGACAGCGTAGAAATGCCTGTTATGTATTGGGGATAACGGCTTTGTAAAGTGTGGTTAAATTAGCAGTTAATTAAAGTAAGCAACCAGACTGGACACCATGACATAGGGTGATAGACGGCGGCTGCAGTCACAGATGTTGCGAGCGCATCCCCACTTGCTGAGGTGAGCCCAGCTCACTGTGGTGATCATGAAGATACCATTTGCAGCTCTTAGCAACAGAGGGAACAAAAGCTCCAGGGAGGGACACTGGGAAAGGCAGCTCAGCAACATGATGGATGCCTTCTGGGGCGGGTTTCTTCTTCGTGAGCCCTAAGCACCGAGGTAGGGCTCAGCTCCAGGAAGAGGTCAGTTGTTTGTTGTAAAATTGTTATGTAAAATTGTGGTCTCATCATAAAAGCTACGCCCAAGGTGTAAGATGGGGGGGAGAGGGGGGGTTTACATTTTACAAAATTAAAAACAATTAAAAGAGCAAACTTGGCATAAATACAATCCTTTTCTTACTCTCCCCCACCCCTCCTCCTTGAGACAGGGTTCTCACGATATAGCTCTGGGTGGACTGGAACTCACAACAACCTACCTGCCCTGCCTCCCAAGTGCTGGAATTAAAGGGGTACACCACCACCACATCCAACCACGAGTGCGCTCTTGAACAAAACGATACAGTCTTTGCTCAAAAGCAGGAGCTAAAAGGACCGTCACATCAACCCCAGGATCTGCTGCCGGGCATGCAAGCCCGAGGAGCAGACAGGGCTCTGGCTTTGGAAGTCACAGTACTGGCAGGTGACGGTGCCCGGGGCTGGTGCTTGTGAGATTTGGGTGCCAGATCTCCTGGCCCTTTGTTAAAGCACTGTGTGCATTTGTGTGTGGGGACACCAACTTCAGATTGATCTGATCCAATTTTCTCTTGCACCATACACATAGAAAACATTACGACTCTATAAAAGTACAAGTGCAACTTGTACAGCTTACATCTGCAGGAACTATGTGAGCAAATCCTACCAAAATAGCTATCTCGTATGTATAAACAGCGTTTGTTTTTAGAAAAACAATATCATAAACTGCAGAATCTGTACAAAAATATAAAATAAATTTGGGCAGCAGTTTTCTAAACAGCCATGTAAATGCAACACTTATGAGGAGTTAATGCCTCTAAAAAGGCAGAATTGCCAAGTCAACTTATACAGGGCAAAATGCCAAGAAAGGTACTGAGATTATCCAAATAATATAGATATATATTCTTTTTTACCTCTTGCAATAAAACTTATAGAAAAAATAGACAAATATGCACATGCAATTTACAGCTTTTCCAACTTAATCCTTGTGCTTCACTTGAATTCTTCACGGTCAGCTTTCAACATCATCAACACAGTCTTCCAATGTCTTCTCTCCTAAGCCAGGGCAGCGGGCCTCTGTGGGGCCCACTCAGAGAGTGTATTAAAAGTGGTCATACTCGAATGAAGGCACTCCAACTCTGCTCAAAGAAAATACTAGTGTGATCCTTTTGTAAAAGTGTCTTTTTCTCTGAAAAAGGCAAGCAAGGGTACATGCACAGTGCGGAGAAACTGTCAGGGTGGCGGGGATGCTTGTAGGGCCTGGTTAGGCACAGTCAAGGGGTCCCCAGTCTTAGGACCCAACGAGCACCTCCATGATGTGGTCTAGCTCTGTGAGATCCATTTTGAAAGGCTGACTTGGGGCAACAGGCTGACTGCTGTAGGGAGCCAGGGTCTTGAGGAGGTCATCAGCTGACACAGGGGCCATTTTTGAGGCTGTCCCTGATGCAGATGTGCAGGGGTCAAAATCGTACATGGATGTGTCAATGTCAGCAAACAATATGTCGTCCAGGGTCAAGTCTGTCAGGAAGCCTGTGGACGTGGTTATTTCAAAATTCCCAGGTAGGGAGTCCATGAATCGTGAGTCATCTGTGCGGCCTTCCTGGGGCCCCTCAGGCTTCTGAATGCTGGGCTCACTGGAGGTTCCTTTCGGGCTGCCAAGCGCCGCCGCCGTGACCACGGCAGCCTCTGTGGAGGTAGATGTGGGACAGAGCTCCTCAATGTCATCCAAGGCGGAGGAAAAGCTGTCCTTTTCTGGGAGGGCTGCAGAGGACAGTCTGGGAGGACCCGCGGGGGGCCCGGCCTGCAAAGTGCAAAATGTGTCATCGTCGTCCTCTAGCAGGGAGGCGGGGGTGAGGCAGGCCTCCAGAGGTGTAGTGCTTCCTAGGCCACAGGGGTGAGCGGGAGGGGAGGCCAGCTGGGTGAAGGCAGGTGGGGCCTCCCTGTAGCTGTCGCTGGGCTGGGACGTGGGGGTGAACGCAGGCCTCAGGCTGCCTTCCTGCTTGAGTTCCTCCTGGATCCGCCTCAACATGTTGTTAATTAGGACAGTCTTCTGCAAGCTGGGCTCTGTCAGGGGCCTGTGGTTATACAGTTTCATAAGGGAAATGTTGAAGACAGTCTGACGCTGTAAGGTGTAAGACACCCTGGATGGACCATCGGAGGGGGACACGATTTTGCCTTCCAGCCCATCTTCATGCTCATCAAACTTCCGTTTTCCTCCTTTACCCAACATATATCTACAAAGGAGAAACATAGGGAAGAGTGTGAATCCCATGAAGGCTAATTTCCACATGAAAAAGATGCTGACTTAGAGGTTAGGACTCGTCTATGCAGCCTCCTGACTGGGTTCAGTAAGAACAGGTGGGTTCACTGGGGGAGACCTGGAGACAGGGAAGTGGGACATCCACTCTCATATGCCTGCAGAGCGATTTTTATCACTAGGCCATCCTGGCCAATGTACTGTGTGAGTAATGTGTACAACACGACGCGGAGAAGTTAGGAGTTACCATGGAAACATGATTTTTACTTTCTCAGCTCATGTGCTTGCGTTCGCACGCCTAACATTATCACACAGGTTCAATTTCCCTCCCCCAAATGGGTTTATTTTTAAAGCTCAAGAACATAGAGCGCACAACCTCAACAGACAGAGGTGTTATAAATTACAGCTTGAACACAACTAAAAATATGGAAGGCATCAAGTTAGAGGAGGGAGAACACACACAATCTTGGTAGAACCGCGTGTGCTTCCAACGTTTTTCCTTCCTCATTATGCGCGAAGCCTTCCTGCCTGTCGGGTGATATGTGGTGAAGCTGAGTGGCCACTGAGACTGAGGTGTGACTGCCTTTCATTCCAGACTGCGTGGAATGCACGTCTCCGCACCCGCGCTCTGCTTGACTCTGTTGGACAGCACAGAGTTGTGTGTGAACACGACTGCTGTAGTTTTGGAGGGATCTGCTCTGACTGTAATGCTAGCCCTGCTACTCGGGAACTAGAGACTGTCCTAACGAAACACCTACTGTGACTCCAAGGATACCTGGGTGTCTGGAAGACACAGGACTTACAAGACCCTGAGAGTCTCATGAAGGCTACAGTCAGGCTCCTTGCGAACACTGCTGCCTCGCTGGTGGTCACTGCTATGGAAACCTGCTCTGAGGACCAGTTCCTGCCCCTCAATGCTTGCTATCTTGTTTTTGTCTTACAGTTCAAGGCAGGCTTCCAATATGAACCTTTGGACTGAGTTCTCAGATGCAACTCAAAAATCCTTGTGCCTCAGCTTACCACGCCCAGCCCAACCTGGCTTCTGGGGCCAGATTAGGAGGCCGGGCTTCTCCTGTGCCCAGGCCCCTGGCACTCTGCAGCACTCACCCCGGACCATGGGGATGCTCTCCACAGGTGCTCGGGAGTTACGTCCTTTTTCCTCTTTCTCTACAGTACTTCTTCATTCCTTCTCTAATTTGCACTCCCCGTCTCGGTTTCCCAGGTGGGAGGAGTCACCACAGAACCCCTCCTGTGTCTCACAAACCTTCTGAACGTCAAGTGTGACCCTAAAGGGGAAGGCTAAGGGAACATACAATTCACAGAAGTTTCCTCCAATATTTTGTTTAAAGGAAGGCCATGTTGTCCACCCCACAAAGCAGACATACAGGAGGCCAGAGTCTGGCGTACACCCCCATAAAGGATGGGAGAGATGATGATAGCTTCAGCCTTATCCATGCCAGCACTGGCTTGAGATCTGCTGATGCTTCTAAAGAATGTGGAATCGCTTGTATGAAACCATTTCCCCTCATCCCGTAAGCATCGACAAGATGGGTATCAATCCTTAGGATCAAAGACCAGACCAAAGATAGCAATCAACACAACTGTTCTTTGAGACAGGAGGGTCTAATAAAAACAACTGGCTTATCTTTCACCTCACAGAGTTCCTACTGTCTAGTGAGTCTCACCTGTATGTCTTCTTTGCATTGGACGCGTCCTATCTGGAGTATCTGTACTCATTCACACTTGACAAATCAGAGGAGAGTCTTATCTCACTCTGAAAAACACAGTGCATCAGAAGCACCACCAGACAACTGGGTTTCAAAGTGTGTAACTGTGTTCACATCTGTATGTGCATCTGCCTACAATCTAAGCATTTAATACTCTCAGGAAAAAAATGCTATTTTGGCTAAAGAGCTTGTAAGGCATTTATTTTGCACACAATGTTAGCTGATCTGCTAGTCACCCTGTGAACAGACCCCTTGAATGTATAAGAGCACAAGTATATACTTGCACACCCTAGATCAGCATTTCTCACACTACAGCTCACAGGTGGGGCTAGCCTGGGAACTGGTAACCCTTCAGGTGAGGTAAGTGAATATACTGTATTACTTAGGGAGGTTTATAGCAATATTACAAAGTAACTGTTAGGTCTGCAAATCTAACCCTCAACACAAGCTTTTACAGTCCCGTCCCCCACCCCCTGCCCCTTACCCCTTTTACTTCATTTTTCAAATAATTGTTTTTATGCTTTACTGAAATTCACAAATGACAGGGTAGGGGGTGGGGCTATCAAAGTGGCCCATCAACACAGAAATCTGAGACACTAAAATACAGCCAAGATCAAATCAGAGACTCATTGCTACTTGGCACTTTTATGGATTTTTTTTTTTGAGACAGAGTTTCTCTGTATTGTTTTGGAGGCTGTCCTGGAACTCACTGTGTAGACCAGACTGGCCTCGAACTCACAGAGATCTACCCTACCTCTGCCTCCCGAGTGCTGGGATTAAAGGCGTGTGCCACCAACGCCTAGCCTTTTTACGGATTTTTCTATGGCAAAGATAACCTTAGGTAACAGTGTAGAAGTCCACTCATTAATATAAAACTGAGGAAGGCTTTTTTTTCTCCCTCTCTCTATTTTTTTTTTAGATGAGATCTCTGCTCACCAAACTGATTGAAACTTCTAGACTTACGTGATCTGCCTTTCAAGCCTCTTAAGTATCTGGGTTACAGAATACACCACCACTTTTTACTTTTCAATAACACACTTCTTTTGAAAATTGATTTGTAAGGCTAGTTGAACTGGTCCATGCCTTTGATGTCAGTACCCAGTGAGGCAGAAATAGATCTGAGTTCCAGGCCAGAGAGGGATACTTGGTGAGCCCCTGGTTTTGTTTGTGTGTGTGTGTGTGTGTGTGTGTGTGTGTGTGTGTGTGTGTGTGTGTGTGTGTGTGTGTGTGCGCGCATCTGTGGAGGTCAGGAATGACTTGTGGAGATAGTTCTGTCCTTCCACCATGGGTCACTCGGCCATCAAGGCTCTTTGAGCACGTGCTCCTCAACAACACACCTTGTTGGCCTAGCAACACATTTCTTTCCACTTGCCACTTCCACAGAAGTCACACCCAAGGGCTGGGGAGATGACTCAGGGCTAAGAGCACTTGTCACTGCTGAGACCCAGGGCTCAGTTCCTAGCACCTCCATGATGCACAGCCGTCTGTAGCTAGTTCCAGGGAACCCCATAGCCTCTTCTGACCTCCAGGGACCCTAGACGTGGGCGTGCGCGTACGTGTACACACACACACACACACACACACACACACACACACACACACACGATAAATCTAAAACAAACAAAAGAACCCCACAACTGGACTGTGTGATTCTGTAGGCATTTAGCACAATTCCCACAGTTGAACAGCATCTATGGAGACATTTTCTATGTGAGAAGCACCTAACTTCCAATTAGACAAGAGTGTCTGGCCAAAGCTGCATGCTAACCCTGCTGTTTAGGAAGCCGGTGGAGGTATGCTGCCGTCAACAGGAGGGTGAAGGGTCCCTGTAAGCAAAATCCGTGACCAGGATAAGGTAGACAAGTTGAATCTCGGGTGTTCTTCAAGTGTGTAAATAAGGGCCTCTGGTGGATTATGTCTCAGAACAGGCTTACTTTCATTTTTCTGTTTTGTACTGAAGCAAACAGAAATGGCCCCATGCGCCCAATGAAAGTGCAAAATGTACATAATCTAATTAAGCCATATAGGAAAACAAAAATGCAACAAAACCAAAATGTGGATTCCCCAGAATCTGATTAGTACAAGGAACAAGCTCGTCACTGGCCCCTGCCGAGAAGACCTCTGTTCCATCCACAGAGGCAGGGCTATGTGTGCCCCGGATCTCCTTGAAGAAGACACAGCATGCCTCCTTGAAGAACCAGGCAGCACACGGCCAGGCACATGGCCCCTTTTGTTAGTGTTGGGCCTGGCTCAAGCTCCTAGACCACGGTGGCCAGCTCCTCAGACACTCAGAAAAAATAACAATAGCTCTTTAGGCGGTTGGACAGGCACGTGACCTTTCAAAAGGCTCCACAAGGGGCAGCCAGCCAAAGCAGCACAGGGGCTAAGGGATTACTGGGAGGGCCGGCGAGGGCTACCCTCTGGAATGGAGGGCTCCAGGGTCAAGGCCTGAGCTGGATTCTAGCCTGCTTGCGAGGGTACTTGGGGTTTGGTGCCCCACTCTGTCCCCTCCCTCGGCTTGCAAATCTTCTATCCAAAGACCCTCGGAGCTCCTAGGGTTCGGGGTTGAGCTAGGACACTCCACACAGGGAATTCAGGTGGGTGGTCCTTCCTTTCCTCTCGCTACCCAAGCCTAAAAACTATCAACTGCTTTTCTACTGATATCCATTGGTTCTCACTGTAAGGTCTGAGATAAAATGTAGCCCCTTCCCAACCGTTAGGAACAAACTCTGACATTTGAGACTCAAGCAGCCTACTCACGATGGGTATGCCCTCAGACACCGAGCCACGCCCCCTGGCCAGTCAGTATTTTGTAAAACTGACCTAGCACAGACTAACTGCAGCAAACTAAAATTGAAACAGACCCTAGTACTCTGCTTAATCCTAACACTGGGAAGCCAGAGGCAGATGATGTATCCTGCCTCAAACAACAAAAACACAGCAAAAGAAAAAAGACCGTATTTTGTTGAGGTTGGTGCCCAAAAGTAATGAGTACAACTGTCCTCAAAAGACTTTGTCTAGACTCTAGACAGTCAGAAAACTTTTACCTCCTACACAGGGCTCCACCATTCCTGGTCCCGAGAAATTCACCCAGTATGGGAGTGTGGCTGTAGCCTCTGGGACCCAGCTTGGTAGCTCCATTTGCCTCTGTCAACTACCGCCAGACTTGCCCTCGAGGGGCACAAGACTAACTGTTTTGTTCACCTCAGCACTCTTGGCTCAGGGCCCCTCCCTGACAGCAAACTAGTCT